AAAGAGAGGTATCTAATTCGAACATAATCGAGATCGCACTAGATTAACTTCAGCGTGCTTCATGACTGGTCAAGAAAACCCGCGCCATCCTCACGACCAAATCAAGTGCGTCGTACAAGTTAATTAATTGTTTGTAATCTTACACCTTTGTTCTGATCAACTTTGGGTTTTATTTTACGACAGTCATTCGAAAAATTCTTTATCCAGACTAACCTTATTATGAAAGATCTCTCCTTATCTAGGAAATTTCCGGGCTCTTTCCTATTCTGTTTACTCATACGAAGCTCTCAACGCTGTATATCCTTGCAGGATGTGTATCAAATGAACTGTAATGGCGTAGCTTACCACAGAGTTCTCCTAAGCTCAATGGTAGAGTAATGGAACGCGTAGGTCTGAGGTTTGATTCCTCATGGTGACAAGACGAAAAAAAGTATCAACTTTGAATCAGTTGCATTTTTGTATTATATTTAGATTATTCTATGAAATTATTTAGTGAAAGGATATGTATTGCAGGCCAGATAGAAGCGCCAGATTCATGACTGAGAATAGTTTAGTTCTTCCTTGACTGTTTCGATCTTAGGTTTCCGGAGGATACAGTTAAAAATCATTTCTCGAGGACACTGACATACGAGTGCACTGAGGAAAATCCTGTGGAAGCATGTTCCATTTGCAAACCTTGACCTTAAGACTATCAGCCAGAAAGAAAAAGTTGGATAGGTCTCCGCATTAGAAATCAACTACAACTAAACGGAAAATTTTTATCAGCAACAGAAGTCTTTATGAGAGGCAACTTAAGATAGCGAAAAACTTGAAGATGTTTAGATAACAGCTCCCTCACCTTGCCTGTGGATTTGACACCTTTAAAAACACAGAGGTAGCAGATAATCCAAGCCAACAAGAGACACAAAGCTACATCCCAGTTCACTATGCCCGGTTCATCCAAAGCACTGCTCAGCTTTAAAACTCTATGTCTAGAAAGTGAAGTAAAAATTGAAACTTAAAATCATTGCGGGACCAGGTTGACTTATGAACCTACCTACTGGATATATTTGTTTAACTGTTAAAATTGATAAGTTGCCTGAAAATATCGCTTGTTCTCCTTATCCTGCCCAATCAAATGACCGAATGACTGACCGGCCTATCTACTAGTGATCAATTGGTCCGTGACGTGAAAACTTTTATGATTAATTTTTTTGTTTAGCATTGGCTTTTGCAAAATTTACCGCGTCAGTTGCAAACGGTCTTAATCATCATCCTTCGCTAGCCTTGCCTCTTTACCTTTACTGATCGATGGTGTGTTTTGTCTCTTCCTGTTTCACCTAGCCTGGCATAGCTATTATGTTTTGGTTTACTTTCAACGTACGTTGTTCCCCACGAAAAGAAAACTCAAAACATTAAGACACTTCCCTTAATCTTTTGCAGTGGTGGATCTACGGAAGGGGCCCAGGAGGCCCGTCCTCCCCCTTCCTTATTTTGGGAAAAAATAAACGCAGAGGGAAAAAAAGGTGTGTGTACACACACACACACACATGGCTCAAGGTCTGGATCCGCCACTTTTTTGCAAATAAAACATACTGTTCTGTAGAGATTTCGTACGGTGCTGACAAGGAAAATTTGTTCAACAATCAATAGCTTCTCTAGTTGGTGACTATTTATTTCCTTGTGATGAGGGGGTGATATTGTAAGGAGAAATTAGTTGTTAGTCAAAGGGTTAATACTTAGCGACACTTACTCAAAATACTCCTCACTCGCAGACACCTTAGCTAGCTTTGCCACAGCAGTTGGCACTGTTGACATATTCGACATGTTCGCCATTACGGTTGGTATGACTGTGGCATTGGTTAAGCTGGAGCCTTTTTCAGATGTGATATAGTCAACACAATTCTGCGTGTTCCATTCATTGCCACAGCGAGACCAAGGGAGCTCGGATTGCAAAGACGCAAACATGTAAAACAGAGCCCATCCAAGGATGACAATGTAGTAAATGTTTAAAAACTGGACGATGATAACACTTGCCCATCCAATGCCTGCAATTAAATAAAATTTCAAATTTTTTTTTAAACTACGCTTTAGGGGCTTGGGGCATTCAATATCCTTTTCAAGAGAACTCAAGAATCCTCATAGATATCTATCCTATAATACTCAGCAAGTTTCGCTCACAAGCCAAGACGAAGCAGATTATCCGAATTCACGCACTATTGCCTGTTATCAAAGGAGGCAGAATTGTTTTATCTTACAAGTTTGAAAGTACTTTTGTTTCCTGACGACAAAAAGCAGAAACAAAAGCCTAATTGTGGACAGATCTTTCACCCCCTAGCCTTGCTCTCTTTAATGAAAGCCGTGAAAGCCATTTGCTATTGATATTTTTGTTAGACTGAGTGGACTAGTTTGAGTGAACGACAGAAAACTGTAGAGGCTCAGTGTAATGTCGCACAACTATAACTCTTCAATATACTGAGGTCATCGTCTTCCTTGCCGCTAGCAAGATGTCAACACTCAGTAACAAAATAAAAGGTATTCTAATTATTACATCAACCATTTTTATTTTTCTTCCCTCGAGGTAATGGTTCTTCTAGAGTGAGACTTGGGTTTCATTAGTAATCGCTCTTTCGAACTTGTAATGGTGAACAGACGCTCGAAACGGTAGCTTTAGATACTCTATACGATGGCCAATTTTCATTATCAACTCAGTTGACAAAACAAAATAATCTTCTTATGCACCCCTCCCCCCCTGCCCCCTAGCCTCCTACCCACCGACACAGCACCACAGTGTCTTCAGAAACTTGCACCCTTTATTCTGTACTTTTAACAGAGTCAAGAGGAAAGTTATAAATGATAAGAAAAAAATATCACGATTTCTTCATAAATTTTGTCACACCCAATAGGGCAAAACCCAAAGATAAAAATAGATTATTACATGCTTGTGAACTAATTTTAATTTTAAAAAAACAAACCTTGAAAAAGTGGACATATCAGCCATGCTGTAATTCCACCTTGACTCGCAAACTGCCCAAGACAAACTTCCAGGATGAGAACAGGGACACCAGCAAAAACAAGGCAAATCAGGTACGGGATCAGAAAACATCCTACATGAGGTAGCCGGCATGACATGCAAACAAAACAGAAATTTAGAGAATAGATCATGAACGTATTGTGTAATGTTATAGAAGTCACATCAGCAAGAGGCCTTCTTCGTCGACTGCAACTCTCAAAGAAAACCTGTTTATTTTGTTTAAGGGCCTGATTGCATGAGCCGGGCTGGCCCGGTTAGCCGGGCTGATTTCTTTTGTTTTCACGCTTTGGCGAACACCAAAACAAAAGAAATCAGCCCGGCTCATGTAATCAGGCCCTAAATCAGCAAATAATGCTTAATTGATAAGAAGAAATTGCTCTCCATAATTTTAAATACACGGTCAGTCTGTCGCATAAGCATTTCTTAATCATGAAACGACGAGAAATCGCTTAAGTTTTTCGATTAGGTTTTCGAGGTGAAAGACAAAACAGAAACTAAATATATTCGGAAAGAACTGGAACAATGGCATCTTGACACTTCACATCAAACAA